GGGCTTTGCTTTGCATCCAGGGCTTTGAGTTTATTGGCTGTGACATCTGTGACATCACTGTTTGCTGTACAGTTGGCAAGCCCTGTGTGACTTCATGTGACATCACTGCCTGCTGTAAAGTTAGTGAGTAAAAACAATGCTGGAGAATCATGGTTATTGTCTGCTGCAAAGTTGTAGCACTGTGCCAAGCTAAAGATTGTTACAGTGTAGGTGGGGGGGTTAACATGTCAAGTTGAAACTTCATGTGTATTCATCGTTCCCAACTCATATGCCCCCAACTCTCACTATCCTACAAATGTTTCGCTGTTTCGCGTTTTTTTATACATGAACCACACTCAAGTCTCAAAATATTACAGAAGGTTCTCTGTGCGTTTGCGCGTGCGAGCCAGATCATAATCGCCCGCTTGGCAGCCCTTTTTTCTAAGACCACGTGAGTTCAGCAAGTATCTACTGCTGCAGCTTCAACTCGCACTTCAGAGCACATGTTCAACGAACCCAGAGAAACATATGAAAATGCATGAAACAATCTTAGTTAGCCTCCGAGTAAGGACCTGCGCTGGGTTTTCCAGGTGAAACAGTGATCTTGGTTGGCAACCATCCCAAAGTCAATTGCCTCACTTTTGCATTAAAATGGTCCATAACATTTGAGTAACTCAACACCACAAATACCTCAACTCTTACGCCAACTCCACGTGGCCAAGACGGCTTTTCCACTCAGCGATCCTTCACTGCTTCATGGCCTGAGCAGGCATGAAATGCCACAGAGACACGTGAAGGAGTGAAGTGGAGGGATTCACGCTGACTGTTTCAGAAGATCTCACAGCTGTCAGGCACACAGGGCAAATTGCTCGCCGCAGCGCCCGTGCCTCATATCACTGTCGCCACCTTTGGTTTTCTTCAATGCCTCCCAATGTGAGAAGCTGAATGTGTGAGCAGTGTTTTGAGTTTCTGTGTGTGAAAGGCTGAAGTGGCAATGCCCAACAAGACACAAACAAAAAACAGGGTGACCACACCGAAGACGATCCCAGGCTAAACCGAACGAGTTCCATCTTGGCGAGAGGCCAGGCTTCGTTTATCATGGCAAAAAACAGCGAGAGTTGGTGGGAGCTCGCATGAAGACTGGACAAAGTTCGTTTGGTTTTCCAATTTTCCATCATCTTAAGCCGCAACTCGAAAAGTGACCGTTTTGACCAATTGGTCTCGGACATCCCAGAACCGCACCAGGCCATGCCAGTTTCCCTTTGAGTCCCAGCAAATTTGATCGTGTTGCACAATGAAGCGGAGTTCCTCCCGATAAATTATGTCATGGCCTGGTGTGTAGAGCACGTTGGCATGGTACAGCCATTTCAATATGTCTACAATCGCTTCATCGGGATCATCAATGCTGGACATGGGTGCAAAGTGTCCGCTTCCCAACTCCTCACTTTCAATCTTGTACTCATACTTTTGCAGCGGAAGTTGCCCCGCAGGCCAGGGAGTGCCTAGATTCTGTCGACACCATATTTGTTTAAGGGGAAACTTGTTAACTCCATGCAACAAATCTCAATGAGACCCTGACCCATGACATCTTTCTTCATCTCAGTGTTGGTGCTGGCCATGGCAGGTGTTTATCTTCCAGCAATTGAAAGACCCCAGTCGTTCTGAACAAAAAGCAGCTGCTAATTATGGTCCAATGGTTGATGGTTCAGTGTCATGTGAAACATGGAAGGTTCTCTTAGCAACCAGTGTTTCCACACATGGCAACAAACTGCCAAGCGCATCCTTTTGCCAGGATCTGGAACGTTCGGGGCCACAGCGCAGCTGAGTCCGGTCGAAGGCTCTCGCGATGCCATCCGGGAACCTCGAGCGGGTGAGGAGTTGGAAGAATTTTGGAATGATTGGGGGATTGGAGAAAGCATAGAAACGATAGAAACTGATTGACAGGACACTAATCATTGACAGGGCGCTAATCTTCCCCCTGTTCTTCTTCCTCCTCCTCGCCCTCCATGTCGTCGCCGTCTAAGTGTTCAGTTTCGGCCTCCGAAGCCGGTGGATGCTGCTCGCCTGCAGCCGTCTTCGCCTCCTCGAGTTTCTCACGGGTCATGGTGTCCTGCAACCAAAACAAGACTTAGTGTCATTTGAACTGCTTTCCAGGTGAAACACGTGCTTTCCAACGTTCAAAACACAATGCACCTGGAGATACATCCTTCTCAAACACCGTAAATTCTTTAACCACTGGTGCAGACAAAAGACCATCAAGATAGTAGCTGCATCAATATTACCATTGGTGTTCACCAATTCGCTCCGCACAGCAGACTCAGACAAAGACATATGTTTGCAAGACATGTGTTTTACGCACCATCCAAAGCTTGTCTCATGGCTGATGACTCCAATGCATCCGAATGGCTGCAATCTCAGCCAATGTATCCTGTGAGAGCCCATCCACGGGCTTCAACTCAGTTGCAGTTGCATGATTTGATTTGAGCGTTGATATGGGGACATATTGCGTATACAATTGAAAAACTGTCATCAACGAACATAATGCTAACGAAGAGCCTTCAACACTTGAGTGCCATTCACCTTGAACCCATAGATACCGTTCTTGTACAGGCCTTTCGAAACCGATACCTTCTCAGGTGCTGGTTTTGGCCCAGTCCCTGCAGGCTTCTTCAAAGGCGGACCCGAAGTGTTCTCGGAATCATTCGCAGCTGGACGTTTCAGAACTGTCTTTGGTGGCTTCTTTGGTGATTTAGCCGAACTGGCCGAAGGATCATCGGTCCCATTTTTCAGTTTGGAAGGTTTTCCTTTCGGACCAGCTTTTGCCTTTGGCATTTTGCCATCGTTCGGTTCCTCTTTGGTCCTGGAACCCTCATCTGATAGCTCATCCACAGCATCGAGCACCATTGCAGCACAGACGGATAGATACCCCGACATCAACACGATGAAATTGAGCTAGAAGCTAGGTGGAATTCAACTTCTAAGTGTAAATCAACTTGTTGACCGTGCTCAGATAGCGCAGACGGATCGATCTAGAAGGCTCGGGCGCCCAAGGTGAACAGTTTTCTTGCGCGGGGAACGCTCAATCTGGGCAGAGGTTTATCCCCAAACCCTCAACCTCAATGGTTCTAGGTAGACAGGCAAAACCAGTGTGCAGGAACCCTTGCAGGATCAAACAAGTCTTCTGGAACCAGAGAGCCGGAATTGCACTACAAAAACGATGGGCTACAGTATGTTGACCCTGCCAACCATAGCTTGCACACACCCTACTTGAAGAAATCTGAATCTTTCACTTCAGTTTCACTGCGTGTCCATCTTTGATAGACACTTCCCCCAGTAAGAACAGCTTAGGCTTTGTCGGCGTGATCACGGCTGGCACGCTCTCATCCACTTTGGCCTGAGGCTCAGTGATGAGAGAAAAGACTTAGATTGGCTAGTTGCAACCCACGCCTCCCAAACGATGCCACAGGAAGGCCCTCGCGGTAGCTGACTGAATCGTCCAGCATAGATCGCACCAAGTTGCCCTGCCCTCATGTGAAGCCGGTCGACATCACCCAAATCTCTGGGCTTGTAAGCGTTGACCATAGGGCTGGGTGTAACCACGTACCGGTATGAAAGGATCCGACCGGTTCCATCCGTGGAGACCTTCCAGACAAACATTCAAGGTGTTCTTTTGTAATGTCACTTTGTTTGTAATGTCTTTTGCAATCACAGTTTAATAGCATTTAATAGCAATTCTTTAAGTCAAACCAGGCCTTTGGTCGCAGACTGTGGTCGATCATCCGTAGTTCGGTAACCCCCCTGCGCTTTGCTACCTCGCAGATGACTTCTGCGACAGACTGCAAGGTCTTGTCCGGGCCAACCGCTAGGAGGTTGAGGTCCTTGTTGATCATCCATGGCAAGTAGCCATCAACGCAATCACCATCTCCTGCAAAGTTTCCACGGAGGACATCAAATTGGTTCAAGATGGTTCAAGATATTTCGCCCCGTTTGCATGAGACCAAAATTATGCACCATACACATCCTAAAAGACACATGGTTTGGCAACTCTGTCCAGAAGGCACTTCCTGGTAAGTACCAGTGTTGAAACCGCAAAGCTCGCCAGCTGGGACGACCAACTCACACCCGCTCTGGTTGTACAGCCACAGGCTGTGGTCTTTTCCAAAGGCAACACGAACTCCTGCTACGCGAGTAAGGTCAGCAGCAGCTTCAATCCTGGCAGAAGGGAGGCCCAGAAAAGTTGAGGTTGGTTCTGTAGTCACAGGTTGACGGGTTGAGATTGAATTGTTGGATAGTAGGATGAGTATCATAGGTGTCCTTTGACGTTTGAACATCCATGAACTAAAGGGCGGTCACAAGAATTGGTAGTAAAGTCAAGGCTCGTTGTGGAAGACTCGAATGCACTCATAGTCACACATTCCAAGGCCAGGTTCTTTTTGAAATTCAACGGGCCACCTCCTTCCCAATCCGGTGAAGCCAAGGTCCGCGAATGAGTGGATGGGCTTGGACTGCCATTCGTGTGATTCTGAGAGCTTCCCGAAGTAGAGGCCTTGATGGCCCGGGCAGTGTCCACGTCTTCATTGATGGTGGACATCAAGTCTTTCAAAGCTGCAGCTTGCGGACCAGTGAATTTCTGCTGCAACAACTCGGGCACCCTTAGATCAATTCAAGGCTCACCCCATGAACTGACAGGTGTAGTGATGTCACATGTCTATTTTCAAAAGTCTTCATAGAACGAAACAGTTCGTTGTTGAACGAAACAGTTCGTTGTTGAATCAAATCAAGAAGCTTGATCTCACCATCAGTGACTGACAGATTCTCCAAGGCAGGAAGCTCTCTGTGAAAGCCAGTGGCGGCCCTGGATTTGGGGCCCGCCCTCTCACACCGGTCCCAGTACCCTGAAACGGCTTTTCCAGCAAAGGCGTCCATCGCTGCTGTTTGCTCCTTTACGTTGTCGTCGTGGTACACACCCATGAACCTGACATCTAAGCTCTTGTCCTCTTCCAACAGGTATTGTTGCTGTAGTTCCCAGCATCCCAATGACCACTCCGCAAACCTTCAGCCATGTTTGAGGCTCTGGGGATATATGGGGATATCAAACGTTTTCAATACATGAGAAGTGAACACATATGAAAACATAATAGTTGGACCTGGAAGGCATGAGGTCGACCACCAAGAGCTTTTGGGTGGTGGCCGCCACACCTTCAACCAGTTGCTTGATGATGGCCACAGTGGCTCCGACGCCCCTTTTTTGTACCTAGGGCCCACTTTGGTTACCAAGGACTAAATTACATGTGACATAATGCGACGCACTTCCATGTATTGAGGCTAGTTGCCCTGAAATGGGGCGCTAACGGGGCATCGGAGTCAGGGTTCTGGAGCTCTCCCACTCTCGCTCGCTCAATGTCTGTGATGGAGCCGAGTAAGGCTCGCGAGCGCGAGAAAGCTGCACTTGCCGATGAAGTCATCGCAGCGAGGCCTCATGAGATCCATACGACATGTCGGGGAAACCACCCATGCCCAACTTGGGTGTTTATGTCTTGTAGGCGTGCCCAAACCCAATGAATCAAAGGTGCACTGTTGGCTCCGCTTACGCCGGTCACCCCCATGTTGGGAATCGCAGTAATTCAGGGAGACTTCGTAGACGTCCATCACACTGAGTCGACATATCTCACGACAATCATTGGAATGAGGAAAACTGCACAAGTCTTTTTTCATATCAGTTGAACCACATGCAAGCCAAAAAACGATCCCACTTTGTCCTCCATCAAACGCCGGTTTTTGAGGACTACATCCCTCTTCGTCGAAGAGTATGTCTGCGGCAGGCAGATGAAAGCCAGGGTTCGGTTGTTCCCGCTGCTGACGGACTGAGCGATTGATATTGCTTCATCAATGCTCAGCTGTCCTGGAATCATGCTGAGCCATATTCGAAAACTATGATCACCGTGTAAAAAGTCATCATATGTGCAAAAAATAATTTGTGTTGTAGCAATGGTTACAATTGTCAGCTTAGCCACGCGAAGGCCAAAGAGTGGCATCTAGAATGAGCAGCGTCAACCTAGGGCGAGCAGACAAGGGCGCAATCTTTGCAACCATTTTCTTTCGAGTTACAGTAGAGAAAACCTTCAAGCTTACTAAGCTGGCTGCAAGGCCAAGAAACCCTTCAGGCCCCATTTCCGCCTGTTTCTTCACAATGGTTGCGTGGGACAGCACCAGGGACGAGAAGTGGGCCATGGTATGCTTCTCCGCACTGAACTCTTCAAGCCACTCCTTCCCCCTCATGTACCGGTCATTGATGTGTTTATAGTCCAAGGCGGCCTAAGCAGATAACATAGAAGTCGAGGAAGTTGAAACCATACTAGTCCCACATTGTCCCACCCTCCGTGAAAGACACACTTGACTTGAATTTACACCTAAGACTTACGACACACCTGCTGCTTGGCGTAGAGGTTGAACTCCTGAGCATACTCTTTGAGCTTGGTCATGTCAGACTGAATCTGTAGCTCACACTGTTGCCAAGTAGTTTGCAGGAGTTGCTCAGAGAGCCTTGCGGCCGAATTGTGTCACAGCTTGATGGAAACAAATTGCGGACACGATTGCACCAAGTTTTCTGCCAGGCCGCTTGGCTGCTTTGGAGCGGCTATCATGCTCGACCTACGTGTTTTCTCGGTCGCTGGCTCAGAAAATTTTGAAGCTGGCAACTGGTTGGTTTCCCAGAGACACCCGCCTGGGCTTGATATCGTTGGATGTGATTTGCAAAGATGCTCACCTTCCCTAGTTCAGGTGGTGGCACTGAGTTCTCCAGCATCAACTGCAAATCAGCATCCCCATGTCGCAATTCAAACCTCAGACAAAACAAGTTTTGTTAATGAAAGATTCGAAGGTGATCAAACAGCAAAAAGGCAAAAAGGCATTGCTGAGAAATGGTTTCATGTATTATGTATTGAAGACACGGAGACGTTTTGTGGATGTCCACCAAGCAAGTGTCCGCGAAAACCTTTGGCACTGATGCCAGGAACTGGTCGAGGCAAGCCAAAAAGGCTCCACATACTCGCTGCAAAACTTCCTTGGTCAGTAAAAGATGGGTCATCAGAAAACACAAAATTCATCAAGATCATCAAGTTCCCTGGGCGGGTCCACGACAGCCTAAAGAAAGCTCGGTCTTGAGGCGAGAATCAACCTGACCCTGGTTCCATGCACGACGCTGCTTTGCAGGGATTGCGCACCAGTCCTTCTCAAGCCTGTTCACCAAGAGGCGGAGCAAGGGCAACCCATTCGTCAGCTCTGCCTTCCAAGGGAGCACAACCCCTTGCGCACCACAGAACCCACTGTTCAGTAGGTTCGCCGCCAAGGCGTCGTGCGTTATGAACTTTGGCTGGCCGTGCTTCCTGCAAAAGGCAAGAGTTGCCCAGAAGATTGAAAGCCGCTGCTGCAATGACAATGAATGACAATGACATGAATGGATTCAAAAATATTCAAAACCCCTGGGCCTTACCAGCAACGTGAGGGCATCCTTGATCTCTCCAGGAATCTTCCCCAGAAGGTTCACTGCCGCAGCAGATTCTTGTTTTCCAAGCGAGTAAGCCGCTGCAAATGAAGCAATTGAATCGTGATTCTGGCCGAGAAAAAAACAAACACTGCGCCGCACATGAGTCCGCATGAGAAGGAAAGGGTTTAACTTGACCCCAATGCGCCGGTCCTCAAGGAGATGGATTGTGTGCTCTTGACTATGCCCTCCACGAACCATCAATTCCAGCTGGTGGAGAAGATTGAAGCAATTCGGCTTGCGGCGAATGGATGAAGCCAATGTGCAGCCTGAGGCAGAGCAAGAAACAGACTTTGTGCAAACGATTGAAAAGCAAACAATACAACACTTATAAGATCTTATAAGGCATTCCACATAACTTTGAATGTGGCCTCGATTGGTATTGATGATGTGCGTGAGATCGGCCGTCGTGACATTACAATGGATCGTGCTAAAGGACCTGTTCAGAAACACTGACAAAGGTTCAAGCCCATTGCCTTTAGGAGTGGTGCTTGCGCTGAAATAATTGCATATTCAGTTTTCTGCCGCCAGCCTCTTGACCTTATCTGGCATGACCTCGCCCAAAAATCAAAAATTCATGGAATTCAACGAGAATGCAAGACTTTGGCGCCCATAACTCAAGGTGTTGCGCCTTGACGAGCTCGGAGTCCATGTAGCAGGCCAAGCAAATCCCCAACAGGCATACGCATCTGTTCCATCCTTTTACTGCGAAGACCTCTCCAGGGCTTGCGAGCCCTCCCTCAAAGTGCAGGTCATGCGAGGCTGAATCCTTTGGGTAAGGACTTGCTAGCCACCCAGTCTGGGTGAGGGTGACGCATATCTTCTCCACGCCAGGCTGGTTTGCATCTGTCAGCATGCCGTTGAGGAGGATGAGTTGACACAGATGGTGCTGGACTTCCTTGGCCGATAATAAGAAACAGGAAGCAGTGACCATGATGAAGGATCAACAAACAATAATGACGCACTCACACGCAAGAATACAGTGGAATCAAATGACACAGTCAGCAGTGCCGCGAAGACCGAAATCACTTCGAAAAGGCAGCTGCCATGGTCTCAGAAATGTGCCGCCTGTCTCACGAAGCTGCTCAACTGTGCCATATGGCCTTGATCAAAAAGTTAAAATGTACTTTGCACTGTTAGCTTGCAAACGCGAGTGCCAGACACATCTGGCTCTGGTGGGAACGTCTCTTCCAAGAACTTGTAGAAGCCATGCCTGGACGCCTCGGTCATAATTCTTCATCTAAGAGTCAGACCAGGACTAAGTACAATCCCTAGAGATAGTCCCTGCCTCTGAAGACATGAACTCTGTCATCACAACATCAAGGGTCTTTTGCTGCTCAAACACATTCTTTTTCCTGAAGCGATAAATGGGTCGTCTATACATTACTTATACAGTACCTGAAGTGAACACATTCTTTCCAGCGTGACTTTTACAGTATGTCCAAGCGGCGCCCATCCCTCAAAGACGTGCATGTGTGGCATGGCAGTGGCATCCGCTGGAATCGAAGGCAGGTCACCGCCTGTTTTTCTCTTCTTCGCTGCGTGCGAACCATCCGAGGTCCTCTTCTTCGGGGCCATGGAAGTGGCACTGCAGCCTGGCTTTGGGCAAGGGACGCGAGCAGGGATTCGAGTGAACAAGTTGATGGTGGTTTTGAAGACATTGTGACATCATTGCGCTCACATAAGAATGTCATGTTTTCTTTCACTCACAATGCCGATGTGCTTGACAGGAACTTGTCCTGGGCTACCCCCTTTGCTCGAGATTCCCAATGACCTGTTTTGAAGGGTTGACTTTTTGTGACAGTCTCTTCACAGAAACCAGCACACATTGAAGACCCCATTTCGTGAAGAAAGTCGACAACATTATTCACAAAATCCACCGGGAACCATCGGGAATCTATGCCGGGCCTAGAAAACAAAGCCGCGGCCCACAGACTCCCAGGAGCATCACCCCTTTCGTGAAGAAAGACGACAACTTTCTTCACAAAACCCAGCTGAACCTGAACAAACTTTTTGTTTGCAAAGGCTCTTCACAAAACCCGGTTATCCTTGAGACATTCAGCCATATCTCTACGAAATCATGATCTGTATACCCAAACCCAAATTCCAAACACCACAAATGAATTGCCCTCATACAAACAATTCATGCTTTTGGGGAAAGATTGGGCCACAATAGAGATCCTTTTGTATAGCTAGCACTGAGACATGGCCTCTCGAACAATGCTAATCGCTTGAGGCATATCTACGCCTGCCCTCCACAGCTTTGCAGCAGCACCATACAAGGCCTCGTTTTTTTTGGCCAAATAGTACCGCCTAGCTTCGGCAGCATCAGGACGCTGTCGTACCAATCGCAAAGCATTCGGTGCCTGGTATCTCGTTGTCAGACAAGCAACAGTCGTACCATCTTTGTTGATCGAATACACCAGGAAAGTGTCAATGAACGATGCTTGCCAACAACTGAAAGAAGATGAAAGAAGTCAAGAGACACCCAAAAAGAAATAGGGCCAACTGCCATCTAGTTGTCCCTATTTATTTGTCACGGTCTCTTGGATACGGTCTGAGCAACAGACCGCTTCGAAATCTCGGGCTCGATATACCATGTCCGCCCGCGCTGCAGGCCCAACTCCTGGTCCATGATGTGGCACGGCCCTCAGACCAGAACTAACTAGCCGCATTCTGTTCCACAAGCACTATGGGTACCAGGGCTCTGACCAACTCACATCTAGAAGCGGTTCGTTCATCTTGATGCCATTAGCGGTATTCTCCAAAGCATCGGCAGCTGAATGCATTTCAAAGGGATAAGATCCTAGAGCGAATGACGAGCGTCAATAGGGATTGTTGCAAAAATCAACCGTTTGTTCTTCTCAGGCTGAAACGCATGAGCGCCGCATACTTCCTGAAGGCCTTTGCGTCCTCTTGGCTGATGCTCTTGGGCTCGGTGAAAACTGGCAAGCCGATTCACAGTGTGTTTGTTACGCTTCGCATTTGGGTTGGCTTTCAACAGACATGCCACTAGTTTTTAGCGGATTGAGGTTGGTGGTATTGCATGCCATGAGACCTGTTTTCACACTTGACACATGGCACCTGGCGGTGATCCAGCACACTGCTTTGCCACATCATAGGGCAAGTATAAGATGGGCTGGCTCCATGACACATCACTCATAAATCTTTTCGTCCTGAAGTTGAAAGTCACACTTGAACAGTGCTCACCATGGTTTGAAACAGTCCACAGTCTAGGGAGACGCCCTGGTCCTCAGAATAACGTCATTTGGATGAGGATTGTAGTGCCGTCGTTTCCAAAAACGGTCGTCGAGTTCTGCACGGGGTACGCCTGTTTGCACACGATTCTCTGTTTGTGTCAAGGCCTATGGCCCAACGTGTAAAGTCAAGAGTTGTGACTTGTTGGAAACAACCGAAAACCAGGTCATTTGGTCCAGTGCACTTAAACATTACAAACATTTGCGGAAACAAGTTGCCTAAGTCAGCAATCCGGTCGAACCGGAAAGTGTGTGGTGCCCCTGGTCCACCACATCCGGTGATATGGCAGTCTTCAAAGTGCTCTGAAAAGAACAGTTTCCTGGGAAAGTGGCGACGGGGCAAGAAGGTGACTGCGAAACTGTTTCATGAGAAGACAGAAACTTAAAGTGTCAAGTCTCCAGTCCCGAAATTGTGACACCATGTTTACCTTCCTGTACGTTTGCTCATAGGGTCTTCGCTCCTCCTTGGCGAACCAATCTTGCAATACCTCTTGAAATTGTGTTGGCGTGTGCACCTCTGGATGTGAATGAATCCATCCTCTGAGGAGGGAAAAGACGGCATCAATGTCCTCATGAGAGTGTCCGCTGCTAAGGAAATCCAAAGATCCTGCTTTGATCTTGGATGTGGCAACCCAAAAACCCATTGCACGGAACAACGTGTTGTTCTTCATCTCACGGCTGCAATTGTCCGCCTGGATGTGAAGAACAACGTTCTTCACATCCAGGCGGCGCGATAGAACCGATAGCCCATGGGCCAATAGCTCGCAAGACCTGCTGCTGTTTGATGTGCACTCGTACGGCGAAAGGTTCACATTGATCAAGTGGCCGTGTAATATCAGAGTTGTCGAACAAAGGCGGGGTCGTACAAAGGAGCTGAACTCCTTGGCGCTCATTGCGCGCGAACGTGGCCAGCTGTGCTTTTGGGCATCCATAGAGTCGAGGATCCCGCTGACGAGATGCACAAAAGGCGCATTCGCCTGAAGTCTGCTCTGGGATCTAACATCCCAGTAGCACTGTCTGTCCCTGTGCTGTCTTGTCAGGTGCCGCTGCAAGCAGGCTTCCTGGATCCGGCGCGCCGCCGGGCAGTGCCCGAGGCGCCGCAAAATAATGCGGTGCCTCACACACTGAGAGCACTTGCTGTGGTGCTGTGCAAACCGTATTCTCAATCTGTCCCCAAAGTCGTCTTGCCACACCTCATTGAGAAAGCGTAAGGCCACCGTCAGGTCACGCACGAAAAGGTCAACAGTTCAATGCTCAAGTGAGTGTTTACAGACTCAAGACAAGATCTAGATATCTAGACAAGATACACTGCAGAACATCTTCCTGCTCACGGTGATGTCGGGCAAAGCAGCCGTGCATTGGATCCAATAGTCTGATATCGATCCCGGTGGAAGGTGTTTGATCCTGCTTCTATCCATGGAGCCGTCGAACTTCTGAGACCCTTGTCGTGGCCGTTTCCTGCTGTTGAGTCCGTCAGGAATGGACTCTGCCACTGTAGTGTACAAACCAGTTAGGAATTGGTGCACCTTGGATCTGGCCTCTGATGGAGGTTGCTTTCCTCTCTTGATGTAGCGAGCATCGTAAGGACACAAGGGTTCTCCTTGTTGGTGGGCTACCCTCATTCGACGAAATCGCTTCTTACCAATTCCCATCAACCTTCTAAACCCAGTGTTGCAGATCGATTGCCCTTCGTACACCAAGTGTCGAATGCCTCTGCAAGACACGTCCACGGTCTTCTTCATAATATCATAGACCTCATACGGACTCATACGCGTTGAGAAAAACGTATGAACACAGGAACTTGTGACAATGATTTCATGTTCAAGCCTTTCGAGCCAGTTACATTTCTTCATTTCATTTGCCACCTAAATTTTGGAAACACAGGCCCAGACAGCGGCATCCTTCTCAAGCTTTGTCATGTGGTCAAAAAGCTCTCGTAGATTGAACCAGGTCTCCCACAAGGCGTAGTTCTCTTGGAAGGGCTGGAAACAAGAAAGAGAACAACCACACTTGGAACTGATCAGATGGCGAAGTTGCTGGGGGTCTGCAGTGTTCTTGGGAGTGGGAGGCGCCCGCTTCTTGCCAGGCCGTCTTTGCCGTTTGGTGGGCTTTGGAGGCACAGCCCGCCCACGGCCTGGGGCCTTGATGGTCTCATCATCGCTCAAGAGATCAATGTCAGGCAATCTCACCTCAACTTTTGGCGTGGCACAGACTGTTACGCAAACTTGTTATGACTGTGTCCTGACAAAACTGTTACCCACATGACTCATGACCATTGGCATTTTCCAGAAATTAAAGGAGAAGTGTTTCGCACACGCCTTTGCCTTGTCGACGCAGGCCATGAGAGGTCTGCGATCGCAGCTCCAGCCTTAGCTGCACTGGAAGTTAAGCGGGCTAGGGAATACCGGAATACCTTTAAGTTGCATTCACTCAGCATACTCAGAAGACCCTGCGCTGCACAAGAAATATCTATACTTTCCAAACTGTTGGAACATGTTGGAACAATAGCCGGGGTAACCTTACTCACAGCAATCCAACTGCAAGCAGGCAACTTGAAATCACCACGAGCAGCAACAAAGCAAACATAGCACACCCGCCGCGGCTCAGCAATCAAGAATTAATTAAATGAAACGGTTTGGTGGTGGGTTGAAGTATTAGCGGTGGTGTAGTTAGAGTGGCACAGATGTCCTTCTTTACTTCAACAGGCAATTGAATCACCTGTGTGTAGAATCTAGAGCATTCAACGATAACCGTAGGGCCGAGAAACTGACGAGTCATGAGTCAGCAGTCAAATCTTTGTCCCAGTCAATGCGCATTGCAGTTCAAACTTGTTGAGTGAGGCGCTTCAAACATGCTGGCTGCACCACCGAGCTCAAGGCCAGGCCACGCACCCAGTGCCACTGAACCACAAAATCAGTGGCTGAAAAGAGGCGCAACTCTTCGATTGATCATGGCTCGACTGCCAAACAAGTAAGTCTGTATAACTCCGAGAAAAAACAGTTCAATACTCACAGTGAATTGCTTTTCGTCACTGCATGGGACAGCTCCACACAGACCCCCGACTTTGGATCTCTAAGACCGCAAGACGAATTTTTTGCAAATCGACACAAAAGTTTGTGTTCATGGATTGCTTTGCAACTCATTTCCCAAGATGTTCAGTGCCAGACGGCATAGATCTGGCATTACGCAATTTCCCACATGGTGGAGGCGTGCCTTCAAATCCTCCGATTGCTCTGCAACCAGCCAGGAACTCAGCTCAGGCTCTGACTTTGGATGCCACGCTTTTGATGGCAAGTTGGCCATCTCCTCGTTGGTCATCAAGGTGAACCCCTGACCAAAACTGTGTGTTTAGAGGCGCCAGCATAGCTTACTATAACTTACTCTAACTGTAAAATTTACAAAGTGTGCCAAGTATATGACCTTTGACCTGATATCAACTCGATCCAGCCTGAAAGAATCTAAAACCTGGCTTCACAGCCAAGATGAAGACCCTTTCGCGCCATACCTTGAAAGGACAAGTAAGAAACATAACTCTGTTAGTTCTGATACCGAATGGCCTGGCTGCCGACCATAAAGCCATTGACCGTGGCGTAGTGAAGCAGCATGTTTCTGTACTGAACTTCCTGCGATTCAAGGATTTTTGATGAGTTGTTGAGATTCAATTTGCAATGCCTGAACAAGGTACTGCCACACAGACTGCATGTCTGAAGAGAGTATGGAGGAGACATTCTCCAGAAGCAGGAATTTCCTCAACAGGTTCATGTCACAATTTACATCAATCTCACCGTAAATCATTGAATCTATCTCAATCGGGTCTCGCGTGAGTCTCGTCGGCCACGCGGAAGCAGTGACTCAGCAGCGCCGTGCGCTCGTCCTCAAGTCCTAGCCGCTTGCCGGCTCTGCTGGATCCCTGGCATCCAAGACGAAGTCGACTTTTTACACTGTCACTGCAAGTTACTTCCACCCTTGAAAACTGCAAAAGTAAGCCAAACGCACCTGGCACGGAAATCCTGCTGTGACACCATCAATGGAGCCCTGCCAGATTTTGCCATCAAAGTGACAAACATCATCTTCAATGGGCACCATTGGCAGGTGCCCCTCCACCATCCGAGACAGGAGTACTTCTCGGCATTGAGGACTCTGCTCGACCTGGCTCGACTGTGCATGTCCGACTATTCGGGCATGGCGCTCAAAAGAAACCTGAGGTCTAGACTGCCACGTGCAATTGGCAGAACCTAGATTGTTGGGGCAAAATGAAATCATACCAATGGTCGGATTTGTGTTGTGGGCCCTGGCTGCGAAGCCCCCAGCTCCAGTCCGCCAATGCCCGTGAACAGGGAGACCACTCTATGCTTCCTTCCCTGCAACCAGCGCAGCTTCAACAAGTGCGAGGGAAATCACCAAACCTACCTGCTGCGGCAACGACGTCCAGGGGCAAGCCGTGCGAACGGCTGCTTTGGTGCATGACCGAACTTCCTTGTTCGTCCACCCTGCGGGTAAACCTGGGCCATGGCTGGTTGAAACAGGAAAAGAACAATTCGAGCAACATTTGCATTGCGTGATTCAAAGAACCATTGAGCAGCTAGCCAGCGAAGTGTTCCGCGAGAGTCGGAGAGACATATTTTCCCCGAGACAGGTTCTTTGCTTCGCAAGCCTGGATGTAGTCCCGTGAGTAGTACACTTGATTCGCGAAGTCCTGCCGGAACAAGGTAACAAGTTGCACAAACAAGTTGCGCAAGTTGCCAATTCCTAACAAAAGCTTCACGTGGCCCGGTCCCCGGCCCCGCGCTCAGTCAAACCTTTCTGGTTCGCTGTCCAGGTCGCGGCAAAGCACCCTTAGAAAAGTCTTACAGGCAACCATCATGATTGGTGAACTCCTGGATGGTACTCACTACATCATTTCAAGTTCACTGAGAAGTGAACGGATGCAACCCCACGATGTTCTGGTCAGGGTCTTGCTCTGAACCCACTTGCTGGATCCCTGCGCCTTTCCTCTTGGCTTCTTTGCAACCTGCCAGTTGCGCTCCAGTCCAGTGGCAGATCAAAAATGCTCAAGTTCTGAGACATGCCTGTTTTGCACAACTAGTGTCAATAATCTGGTGGCTGGATGCATGCGGGTAGCCAGTATAATATTCAGCTTCCTACGAGGCTTCTGCGGCAAACAGCCAGGTTTGAAAGATATCGGCCACTGATGCGCTTTCCGGGTGACAGCGTACTTCACGATGTTCTTCACCTGTCAAGGTAGCTAGAGAGCACAAAGATTAAGGGAACACTTGCTGCAAAAAGTCCAAGAGGTGTAATATAAATGTATGATATAGATAGATAGATAGATATATTATCTATGTATATTATACGATCGATATAGATATTGGTGTATACAAAAAAGATTGCAACACGCGACAATCAAGTTTTGTTGCAGAAAGCGCTGGTCTCGTTGAAAGGCAACACCTCTGTTTAGCTGTACTGTAGGCCTGTGGTTGATCTTGGCTATCATGGCCACAACTTGGCGCACTCAAGCACTTGCAGAACCAAGCTTGAAAACACACACGTTTTTTTGAGGCATCACTGCTAAGGAGCTGGCTCACTTAGGTCGTCCACGTCCGGGAGCGCCATTGAACACGCTGGGTCGACAGTTCGACGAACTCGTTTTCCAGAAAAAAAGCTGACATGCACACAACAAAGTCCAAGCAAGTGTGTTCAACTTGGAACTGAGTGATTCCAAACTGAGTGATGCTTTAAGAAGACGAAGCAATCAGAAAGACTTTTCTTCCTAGCCCCAACGAGATCACATAGATGGCAAATTGAAGGAGCCATCTATACACCCCAGACGCACACTTAGTGCAGGAAACGCTGATCTAAATCATCCAGAAATTCAAAGGACGTTTCCCCAACGTTCATCTTATCCAGTGCAGTGGACATCACTCTGAATGCCCGAACCAAAGCAATCTTAGGGTAGGCGAAGGCTTCTGGCCTTGCGAGAAATTCTTTGACCTGGGGCGACGTGTTGTACTTCATGCAACATTGGTTCTTAAGACCTCAGGCCCTTACACTTTCGTTGACCAGGTGAGCAAAGGCTGATTTGTCCATGGCCTTGAAGGTGTTGCATTCGAGAATGAAGTCTCCATGTGGCACACGCTGAGGTCAAGGCCTCCTCCTCTGACTCTGAGCGGAGATCAACGCCGTAGAGACATGTGATTGTGTCATCCAAAGCCTACGAAATAGAATCAAAACACGAGCAAACCATTTTTTTGGGCAAGGTGTACCGCAAGCCTTCACATGCTCAGCAGTCACAATAGCCTGGGGGTAGCTTGACACTGTCAGGCACTCTGAACACACTACGCGTTTTCCTTGAGCACCCCACTGGCTTGGTTGGCGAGTTCTCGGCAGTGTTTAGGAGATCGCTTTCCCTAGGTCATGGCTTTCTAGCAACAAAACTAGTGTTCCCAAATCTCTGAGGGGGTAGCAAGGATGACCATTCGATGATAGCGTTCTGCAACATGGTTGAAGGGCTCAACTTGTGAAGGTTAGGGATCATGACATGAAAGAAATCTGTCACCTCGGCCTTGCGTTTAAATCCAGCTCGAGCTCTCGCCTGTGCAGTTGAAAATGTGAAGGAATCGTGGAGTGAGGGAGTGAGTGAACATTCTCGTGGAAGTTCTTGGGCCAGAGCAGACTGTGGTGTTCGTGAACGCTCGGACGATGATGACGAAGCCGGCGAAGCCTCCAAGGATTAGGGGTACACGCTAGAACGTGAGCAAACTAACTTTTGTGGACTGGCCTCAAGCGACATGGTTAGGAGCACCTATCCAACGACAACCCAACAGTTGTTCGAAAGCCTGAAGGTTGAAGACGGGTCATTCCAGCCTCTCCACCGCGAAGAGAAGCCTGGAAACAAATCCCCTAATGCGCAGTCCCCTACCAGATGTCGGATTTAACGGTGTGAGTCTGAGGACCAGTCTGAGTCGCAGGATCCTTGATCCCGCAAAGCCCCCTAAACACCGGAAGCTATGAGCCAAAACACCCCGCAGTGAGCCTCAAGAAAGGGTCAAACCCCTTTGGCATTGCGCCCGTGAACCGGCCCAATTGCTCGCCTCCTTCATTCTTTCTTTGCTTTTTGAGCCGGCCTGAGGCAAAGTGCGGAGTGACTGCGCAAGATCACGCTCGTGTCAGGTAGGCTTCAAAAGCCCTGTAGAGAATCACAGCACACAAAAATGGTAAATTGCATGGGAGCTCAGGCAAATTGACTTCCTTTGGTTGCAACAACATCTCCAGTCTGAGAAAGAGTAGACTGCTATATAAGTGCACTTGAGATGAAAACATGTACGCGGCGAACCTCGCTAGGGATCCCAGCACTTAATCCTTGAGAAGACACGCAACCTGCGGTTGCTGGTGGTAAGGAATGAATTCCCCCATCCCTGTTTTTAGATGTTGCCACCTGAAACAAAGAACTTGTTTTCTCAAGGCTGCGGTATTGTTTCCTGTCTTACTTAGTTTCACATCATCACAGAAGATCGAGAAACTTTCGGAAAAGAACGCGCCTCACATGAAGAGGGGCGCAACGCTGGGCCCGACCGAGCCGATTGGAGGGAAACTGGGCTATTAACCTTGAAGCTATTTTTGTGATTGTGGGATACACAGTGTTCAACGCAAAGATGCTGAGTTCACCTTCTGCTCCCAAACTCGGGTGGGCCCTTTAAACATGTTCTTAACTCTAAACCAGAAGAGCCAAACACTGCCAAGCGCGCTTGGGTTTCCTGACCGGGACCAGCTGGGGAACAAGCACGCCTATATATAGTGGTGGCCTGTTGTATAGTAGAATAGGTTTCCTGACTAAAAAACATTGAGTTTCTAAACACTTTGCAGCAGTTTTCAACGCTAAGAAGCGGTTGCCCACTTTGCAGCAGGCAGTGATGTCACATGATGTCACATTGCCAACTTTACAGCAGGCAGTGATGTCACATGAAGTCACACAGCAAACAGTGATGTCACAGCCAATAAACTCAAAGCCCTGGATGCAAAGCAAAGCCC